TTGATGCTGAAAATGGCAGACATGAAACAACATACTGAGGATATGGTGATGCGCAATATCAATCAATATTGGTGGGCGGGGGGACCGCACTTCTTCTTCAAGTTGTGGTCGATCTAAAAACCACTCCAATTGGTCCAATGTTTTTATGTTGTTAAACAAAAAAAATGTACTGGGTGTGTTTATATTACCCCAATATGTTATAAGGTCTGTACACTATACTTACACACATGTCTGTCCAAACGGCTTGAAGTAGATTTTTCACCATATGTGCCCCTTATGCAAATTAATAGACTTTTGCTGCCACATAAATGATGAAAAGCGTTTAAAATAAATGCATTTTTGACTATAGTATACTCTAAAATGCTGGGTTGTAAAATAGGGACAAACCAAAAGTTTAGTAAAAAAAAATTTTTCAATTAAATTGAGGCGACACAGTGGCGCAGTAGGTAGTGCTGTCGCCTCACAGCAAGAAGGTTGCTGGACCGCTGGTTTGAACATCGGCTCAGTTGGCATTCTGTGTGGAGTTTGCATGTTCTCCCTGTGTGTGCGTGGGTTTCCTCCGGCTGCTCCGGTTTCCCCCACAGTCCAAAGACATGCGGTACAGGTGAATTGGGTAGGCTAAATTGTCCGTACTGTGTAAGTGTGTGTATGGATGTTTCCCAGAGATGGGTTGCGGCTGGAAGGGCATCCACTGCGTAAAAACGTGCTGGATAAGTTGGTGGTTCCTTCCGATGTGGCGACCCCGGATTAATAAAGAGGCTAAGCTGACAAGAAAATTCATGAAAATTAATGAGTTAAATTGAAATGATGCGTTTTAACCCAGTAATTGGGTTTGTCCATATTTGACCCGGCATTGTGTGATAAAACAGCATTTTATTAAGAGTGTACATCTGTAAATGACTCAAAGCATTTTACACCCATTTACACTTGTACAGTATTTACTGTCATCCACCTGTGGTCAATTAACAAAGTACATCTTACAATACAAGTCATGAGCTGAGTAGTCATCATGTTTGTGATTGGCCAGAGTGGTCATTGACGCACTCACTTTACCCAGCATTTACATGGACACCAAAGCATATTAAAGCCAAATCTATCCATTTTCTGAAAGATCAGCTGATTGACGATGCTTTCAAACACTCCACCAAACGCTTTAAGAGAAATTTAAAATACCTTGTGTCAGTGGTGTCATCACCACACAAGCAGCCAATAGTGTTCAACTCTTTCTGATGACTCCGCCCAGAACATTTCATTTCATGTGTGAAGACAAAATCAAGTCACATAGTCTAAACGGCACATTGATCTGCTGATGTTTAAAGTCATGTATTGTGAACTAGGCTTTTAACACACTCTCCAATCATTCTGACTTTCATTTTTTTTGTCACTGTAGCAGAAACCACACCACCTGTTCCCTTTCTCAAACGTGTTTACTCTGATTGTCCATTGTTCAGGAACTTGAATTGTTTGCTCCATCATTCTCTTATCTTTTTTTAACATTCATTTTTATATGTACTTTCCAGCCAGATTGAACAAGACTGTCATTGATTGCACAGACTGGGGAATAAAACACATCTCTAAATTGCAATCAGCACTTTTTACAATCCTTACAATCTGATTGCATAAAAAAATCATGCAGTGTTTTCAGTAGACAGCCGACTGCAATAGTCATAATGTATTCGTATTTGATCTCATTTTGCCTACCTTTTTTGGTTTCTGCCCTTGATAAAAAGATCCCTCCTGCATTTTTCTCAGATAACACTCTCTGCTGGTGACAGATGAAAAATATAGCACGCCATGATGTTTTAGAGAGTTATGTTAATTGCTACAGCAAGACAAGCTCCACTCAAACTCTCAAACAACATCTGGGCGTCTGTCTGTACAGCACTTATGTATGAATAATGGTTTGCTGCACCTCTGAATGTTAACAGTTTCTTGTTTCAAAAGCATTTTACTAAGCACTCACTAGGCATTACATTTTGAACAATATTTGTGCACAATCCGAACCAGACTTTGGCTATTTGCTAAAACCCAATGAGCCGTTTAATGCCAACACGGCTGTTTTCTATTGTGAAATCGGAACTGACTGACTGTTGTAAGAAAGCAGTATTAGAAATAGTTAATAAGACACTCAGACTCAATGAAAAATTACATTATGCACATTTCACTATATTGTACATTCATTGTCAACTGAGTGTTACACTTTAATCTGTTTTTGAGATCGCAAATAAAATCTGACAACAGTCGTACAGTATCACATGCTTCTTTCTACATTTTTTCTTAACTCTAAGAAATGTATTTGAATAGTAAATACAATTGACTGAAGTTTTCAGCTAAAACAATCACAGGCTGATTTTAACTAAACCACCAATGACAGAGGCTTCTTGTTAATTTATTTTTAGTTTGGAAGACTGGATCTTGAGTGTTTTCTTGTAGTATTTACCTATTATAATACCTAATTTTCACTGAGTGGTTTGATACGGTACGGTACAGTATGATTCAGTATGTCACCCTGATCAAGCCAGCACTACCACTGCCAATACACACTACCTGACAAAAGCCTTATTGCCTATCCAACTTTTAGGAACAACAAATAATAACTCAAGTTCTAGTTTAACATTTTGTATCAGAAGTGGCTTATATGAAAGGCATAGACTTCTAGATTATGCTTATTTTACCAAAATAAAATATGGACACTCTTTGATTTTTTTATTATTATTTTTATTATTATTATGTAATTAGGATAGTAAGCAATGCAATGGGCAGCATAAATGTCTTGATACCTCAGGCTGTTGATGTTGCCATCCACTCTGCAGATCTCTCGCACGCCTCTATACTGAATGTAACCCCAAACCATGATTTTTTCTTCACCAAACTTTTCTTATTTCTGTGAGATTTTTGGGTCCATGTGGGTTCCAATGAGTCTTCTGCTGTATATGTGATGATTGAGATGCAGTTCAACGGATGATTCATTGAAAAAAATCTAACTTCTGACACTTTTCCAAATGATCAACTAGAAGTTGTTATTTGTTGCTCTTACAACTTAGATCTATGACAAGATTGTCAGGTAGTGCAGAACCCTTACTTGTTATGTGTGGTGCTTCCTGCATTGTCATTCAATCTTGTTGCATGTGCAAGTGATGCTTTTCTATAAACCAATAAAGTTAGCTATAAATACAGCCTTCGATTGGCATAAAAAAAATTTAAAAAAAAACTGAACAGACTTATTGATGGCACCAATGCCGGCAGACACCATTTCAGCACACAGATAGTGTGAAAAAAAATTAAATCTAGCTAGTCCTCATCTAGGTGTTTTGTGTTTTAGCTTGTTTCCATAACACCCGATTCACATGGGGCCTGAGCCTCAACACTTAAAGGAGATTTGAGGTTAGGACTGACGGGATTGTCATAGCAGTATCAGCCAATGAAACAAGTTTGCAATCGGCTACTGTCTAAGCTGGGGAATTTGCATGTAGCAATATAATTGGCTGATGCTTCCATTATCGCTTGAAAAGTTGAGAAATTCTCAACTTCTGCACCAAGCAATACCGATGAAGCAGCGCCGATGAACCCACAATTCAGTTCAGCAATGCTTAACATCACTCATTTAAAGTGAATAGAAAGCGTTAACGCTGACGCCCTGTGTGAATGACAACTTAAATAGATATTTCTGCCAAAAATGAAGATACTGCCCATTTATTTGTTTTAAAGGTGCAGTTTGTAAGTTTGATACCCAGTGTTTGAACTAGGTATGGCTCCCCTGGTTTAAAACACTAGCAGATTGCCAGATTAAAGACATCTACAGCCTGAGTATTGAGCCCACCACACACCAGCTGATAGGTGGAGAGCAGACAGAGTGATGAAGCCAATTATGAAATGGAGATTGTTAGGAGGCCATGATGAACAGAGGCCAGTGGACAAATTTGTTGCCCATTTATTGCCAAAGCAGCAGAAGATAGTTCAACTCAGATCTTGAAAATAAAATAAACTGTTTGAAATTGAACTTTACAACTGTGACTCAGTGCAAACCAGCTTGTGCTTGTGCAAAAAAAGCTTGTGCTTTATTATAGGAAATGCAATATATTGGGTTGCACGGTGGCTCAGTGATTAGTACTGTCTCCTCACAGCAATAAGGTAACTGGTTTGAGTCCCGGCTGGGTCAGTGTGTATGGGTGTTTCCCAGTACTGGGTTGTGGGTGGAAGGGCATCCGCTGCGGAAAACATATTCCAGAAAAGTTGGCGACCTCTGGCGACAATGTTGGCGACCTCTGAAATAGAAACTAAGCTGAAGGAAAATGAATGAACAACATATTGTCATTAGATTTTTGCAACGCTACATGCAACCAACATATTGCCCATAGTAAATGCGCACCTTGATCTCACCTGAAAGGTATAGGTAAACAAACTTATTTATTTATTTATTTTTTATTTTAAAAAAAATAAATTGGTGTACAACATTGTTCACGGAGCTTCATATGATTACAGTTGAACCACTAAACAACAAGTCACACGGAGTGTTTTGACAAGTGTTTCTGGACCTTGAACATCTCGGCACCATGGCTGTCTAAGGAGGGTCAGAGAGCTCTTGAATATCATCTAAAATATTTCAATTTGGGTGCCAAAGATGAACAAAGGTCTCAGCAGATTGAAATGAAACGAGGCTGAGTAATTCATAATAGAATAAAAATTTTTGGGTGAACAAACTCTTGAATAAAATGATCAACAAAGGAAGGACAAAGGAAGATTTTCATTCACATAAAATGTAGACATGATACATTTAAGTGTTTTAAAGCCCCAAATGTCCCCCATTAGACAAGCATTAAATGGAAGAACATGAAAACACAGAGGGATCTTACAGATGAAAAGGCACATCTATGTATAGCAAGTAAATACATAACAAGAATGGTTCTGTGATGCACATCCCTTCTCTACATGTATTTCCTGCAATCATGTGAATAATTTATGCTCTTATTCATTCTCATGTCTCTTTTCTCTCTTTGCAGCTTCCTTCGGCAACATTTCTTAGCTCATCTGTCCTTTGGCAGCTCTCTCGACTTCCCGGCAGATACAGGAAGCCTTATTCCCAACTGTAACAGACATTTCGAAAGAGAGAGAGACTCTGCCTGCCTGTGGATCAATGGAGGAGACTGTTAACTCGACACAGGTTTAACTGACAGGACTGCCTTTTTATGAAGAAATTGATAGGATTTCAGAAACTCAAAAGGACAAAGGCTACTCTACAACTGTAATATAGTGATAAGATTCAAGTTTCACCTCATCTCTTTAAAACCTACAGCAGCAACCAGAGCCCTGTCAGACAGCACTTGGATCAAGACCTCTAAATGGATCCAAACGTGAAGTTGAACCGTGATCTCAGTTGATGTTATGGTGCGATTTGTCTCAGTAGCCTTGATTCCCCTCTGAGGTTTAAAGTGTTTGGATATCTGACAGCCTTGCTCTTTTAACCCAGCAACACTCACTCAACATGGACGTAGATGCAATGCTGAACAAATCCTGTTTCTACAAGTGTGGGAATAGACAATCCCTCCTCCTACCTCTCACGATAGATTGTATCATTCCATTTACAGTAGACTTGAGGCATGTCATTTGATTATCTGAAACTTCCACGCTACAGGCTAAAGGGACTTCCTCACTGATAAAAACAACTGCATCATTTCGAAGGACTTTCTTTTAAAATGGACTTTGAACATTGAATGTTAATACTATCAGATGTGCACACCTATAAAATGACCATTGTTTTGCTTTTCTTCTCAGGACGTTCATTTACATTCTATGCTGTAACCTTCATTTAAGTGTCATTTTCAAATCTTGCATACAATGTAGTTGTTCAGGTTTTCTCCTAATACAGAAAGAATATATCAGAGTATTAATATATGTTTACTCTAAGAATTAAGGCCCATTCTCACCAAAGACAATAACCATAATGATAAAGATATTGTTCCATTTTGCTAAATTTAAAAATACAGCTATAAGGATAATTCAAAAATTAAGAGTAGGGTTGGAAAAACTGATGACTGATGAAAAATATTGAAAACCAATTTAATGAATCAGTTGGTTTTGACATTGTATATATTATAGTTATCAGTCTTGGTGTGAACGGGCCTTTAAAGTATGTGTCTAGATTAATGTCTTTTGTAGCAGTCCCAGTTGTCCTTATTTACAAAGCAATAATGTAAAGTGGTGCCACATGCCTGCATGGCTAGACCTGTTAGAGACTGTTTTCAGCTACGTAAACAATCATAAACTTTAGGTCTGAAATATACTTCACACAAGCGAAGGGTTCTGCATTCCAACTGAATTTGGTGTTGCATTCCAAGATGACTTAATGTGTTAACCACTGCAAGTAAATGTCACCCTGCCTATTCTAATCACCCTGCTCTAAATGATATTCAAACTTTTTCCAAGATTTTTTTTATAAAGTTTCCTTCATGGGAGCTAGGGAGGCTTTACTATAGAGTCTAACCATACTACTACAAATCTTACGTCAAGGTGGGAGGTGAAGAGGGTTTAAAGCTGTTACCCATTTCACTCATTCATATTCATAGCACCACACATTGCATTCATAGCACCAACAAATCCCCTCTGGTCTTGGGATGCATCAAGTGGGATTCAAACCACTGTTTCTGTCAAAGACATCAGGCACCCAACAAAATATCTTAAAATTGCAGCCTCTAGTATCAGGCACTATCCCCTGTTGCTGGCCTCATTTACACAGACAGACCTAAAACTCATTTCTACCCAGGTCATGGCACTAGTGTAACCCCTCTGGTTCTACACGTTTTGGACCAAATCTGTGATTTTGGCAGGAAAGGCAGACAAACTAATAAGGGAGCCAAGAACTGCAACCTGTAGCATCAGTCATATTTGTCCCTCTTGAGGCTAGGTTTACCCCCACAGCTTTGGGACATGACACCAATTTGACACTTCCCATTTAACCATTCGAACCAATGTCTTCAACATAAGAAGTGGGCACACTATCAAGGACACAAAAGGCTGAGATTCTAGCTACCACTTAAGGCCTGTAGAGTGAAATGTAAAGCTCTTACCAATTTTTGAAACCTCACTCCCATATGGGTCATAGAACCGACAAAAATACTATGGCCTTGAAATGAAGCCAAAACACTGTTTTGGCAAGGATGGCAAGCACCCAACAAAAACATTTAAAACTGAAGAATCTAGCATCAGGCACTAGTCGTTGTTGTTGGCTTCATTTACACAGAAAAGCCTAAAGGTCAGCTCCAAGCATAGGCTCAAACTTGTGGTTTTTGGCAGGGAATGTAGATCCATTAATACAAACTGCAGGTTCTAATGTCAGTCATATTTATACCTCTTGAGGCTACATTATCTACACACCCATTCTATTTTACCCACCCCGCTCTAGGTATGATTCAGATCATTGTCTCTGACATGAGAAGTGGGTACACTAACAACACACCCTCTAACCTTCTTTGAGGTTTGCCCTTACAACTAATACTATGGCTTCCACTACACATTTTGATTCGGGTCACGGCACCAGTGAGAACCCTTCCATTTTACTTGCCTTACTTGAAGTGGAATTCAAACCAGTGTCTATGACATGAGAAGTGGGAACACTACTAAGGACACAAAAGGTTGCATCTTCTAGCATTAGTTGCCCCTGAATTTCTTGAGTGGGAGGAATTAGGTTTACCCATTTAACTAATACTAGCTAGCTTCCACTACACTCACTGCAATCTGGGTCATGGCACCAATGTGAACACTCCCATTATACTAACCTCACTCCAAGTGGGATTCAAACCAGTGTCTATGACATGAGATGTGGGTACGCAACCAAGGGCACAAAAGACTGCAGCTTCTAGTTTTAGTTGCTCATGCATCTCTTGAGTGGGAGGAATGAGGTTTACCCAGACAACTAATACTAGGTAGCTTCTACTACACTTACTGCAATCTAAGTCATTGCACCAATGTGAACCTTCAAACCAGTGTCTATGACATGAGAAGAGGATACACTACCAAAGAGACAAAAGGCTGCAGCTTCTAGCATTAGTTGCTCCTGCATCTTTTGAGTGGGATGAATGGGGTTTCCCAGACAACTAATACTAGGTAGCTTCTACTACACTCACTGCAATCTGGGTCATGGCACCAATGTGAACCTTTCCATTCTATTCAGCCCACTTCAAGTGGGATTCTGGGATTCAAACCAGTGTCTACGACATGAAAAGAGGGTACGTTACCAAGGACACCAAAGGCTGAAGCTTCCAGCATTAGTTACTCATGCATCTCTTGAGTGGGAGGAATGAGGTTTCCCAGACAACTCATACTAGGTAACTTCCACCACGCTTACTGTAATCCGGGTCATGGCACCAATGTGAACCTTTCCATTCTACTCACCTCACTCTAAGCACTAACAAGAACACAAAAGGCTGCCACTTCTAACATTAGTTGCTCCTGTGTCTCCTGAGTAGGTGGAATGAGGTTTACCGATACAACTAATAGTTAGCTTTCACTACACTCACAGCAATCCGGGTCATGGCACCAATTTGAACCTTTCCATTATACTCATCTCACTCCAAGTTGGATTCAAACCAGTGTCTATGGCATGAGAAGAGGGCATACTAACAAGAAAACAAAATGCTGCAGCTTCTAGCACAAGTTGCACTTCACCTCAAGGCCACAACTCTTTTTAACACCAACATAACCCTTTCTATTTTGCTTGCCCTACACCAAATTTCAACTGGTGTTTCTGACATGGGAGGTGGAGACACTTACAAAGATGCAAAAGGCTTCAGCTTCTAGCATCCATCTCTACTGTGCCCTTTGAGGCCAGAGCTGTGAGTTTTTCCCGACACAGCATTTACTAGCTGGCCTCTATTACACTCAGCCCCACAAACATCACAACCATTTAGGTCACTTCACCAACATAACCAATTCAGTTTTACTTGCCCTGCTCAAAGAAAGCTGAAGACCATGGCCTCTAGTGTTAGTTGGTTCAGTCAGTCTCTAGTGATAGTTTTCCACTTGAGGCCAAGGCAGAAATGATTACCCACACAGCATTTACTATTTAGCCTTTGTTAAAGGTTTCTCTTTGAGGTCAACCACTGTAATGGCGGTAGAGTGGATTAAAGATGTTTGTTCATTCAGTGTTTTAATCCTGTTGGTGTTTGTTGGGTACGAACATGACTGTTATGTTTTCCAACATAATAAATCCAAAATCCAACTTTAAAGTAACACTCCACTTTTGTTTATTAACTTTGAAATAGGCTACTTTTACAATTTTCATAGCATTGAACAGTGGTATCAGATTAGACCAATGGTATTCTCTCATTCTGGTGTAATGATCAAAAATCTTTGCTGCTGTACTCTGGCTGCATTAGGCACAATGATATTCCCCAGCTAGGTAATTAAGATACAGTGATGTGAAATATTATTGTTCTAGCTGCAGCCATGGTATGGCAGCAAATTTCCTAAATTTTCACACCAGAATGAGAGTTTAGGTTCTAGGCATATTGACCTAGAACACAGGTGTCAGTTCCTGGAGGACTGGAGCTCTGCACAGATAAGTTCCAAACTTAATTAAACAAATCTTATCAACTTTTCCTCCCATAGACTTCCATTTATATGCACGCAAATGCTTTAGACCAAAAACGTGGGGTCATGCGTTAAGTTTCGCAGGTTGCTGCGGTGCAAAGTTCAAGCTTGGTGAACTCTGACCTGCCGAATCGCATTACTTTTTTTTTTTTTTTTTTTTTTTAGAATATGCAAAATACAAGAAAACATCAACAGATAACAAATACAAAGCAACAAAACAAAAATATCAACAATATAGTCAGGTACTGGTATGTGCGTGAGTGTGTGCGTGTGAGTGTGTGTATGCATGTAAAGGTAACTTGGTGGACAGGTCAGAGTACATACATTAGGAACAATAACAGTCAATAAATGAAGCAAGTGTCACAGATATAATCACATTACTTGACTGCGTGAGACCAGTCGAGGATTGAAACACGACCTCTCTGGACAAAAATTTAAAACATGGAGCAATCGCTCACTTTTTAAAATGTCTAATAAGCATGTTAAATCCCGCCTCTTTTGGCAGCACCGCACAACAGAATATCGCATGCTCAAACTCTAATGTGACCGCAGCTTAAGTGTGTTGAAGCAGGGTTGGAACTAACTGTGCAGGGCTGCGGCCCTCTAAGGTCTGAGTTTAACACCCCTGACCTAGAAAATAGTTATATTTAATTTTCCCTTGGTCTAAGTACTAATTAGGAGACAGAGAGAGAGAGAGAGAGAGAGAGAGAGAGAGAGAGAGAGAGAGAGAGAGAGATGCTAATGGTCTAACCTGATTACAAGATTTATGCTAAACTAAGCTAAAATGCTCACCCCAGACCTGGAGATCAGCTGAATAAATTAAAAACTAGTAAAACTTCAGTGTTTAACTCTAGGGTAAACTTGTAAAATAAGACTATTACAAAACAGTGGAGTGTTCCTTTAAACATTTGATACAGTGCTGGCTATATGAGCTAGCCTTTTGAGAAATTAGGTTTGTTATCGCAAGAAGGCAATAAGGCATGCTATGTATTTACTATAGAAAGACCATTTATTTTCTCTAGTATGATAAAGGACCTTTGGCGGAGAGAATGTAATTATTTCCATTTTGTGATTTTGTCATAAGTTTTGCTAAATTCTAAATAGTCCGACACTAAAAAGCACTGTGATACAATGGCATGGTTTTTAGCAAGCTTGAATGTTTGTGTTTAGAGAATAGGGTGGGAGTTACTGTAAAACCCCATTTTAAAAAGAATATAGAGTCTTAGATTGGTTGTCGGATACTCATGGCACCAGTCATTGTTCATGGCTTCTGCACAGTGTACTCAAATAAATGAAAATCTGGCTCTCGTAAGCACACTAATCCAGTCCATCCAGGTTAAAAGTGTTTATATGGGACTGACAGGCTGGAATTACATTTGAAATTCATGTGACAGAAGAAAGATGTCTTTCCAGAGGGTTTTTGCTGACTCTTTCAATCTGGCACACTATTTTTTTTTCTCCAGACTTGTGAAGGGTTTCATTTAAATCTTGTTATGCAGAAAAAAAAAAAAAAAAGGGAAATGAACATTGGTTATGTAATGTCCTGCTACTAATATGATTATACAAGACGTAGTGTGGCATACACAGCTGTACGAGTGTGTTTTGGAATAAAGTTTTAAAAATAAATATTTGAAGTTTGTTATTTACTATTATTTAAAAAAAAACTGTTATGGTTCAACATGTATCAGTGAAGAAACATTTTGGAGCATATGTCTGATGCATAGAAAGTTAAAATGCACACCTATAAATCCATTACTTCTTTACAAATTAAACAACTGTTCTTAAAACAAGTGCAGTATAGAGTAGAGAAACTGACGTCACCTTGTAGACCAATTGGCTGCTAGCATAAAACTGGTTCCCTCAATAAAATCACCATAGAATTTTCCCATAGACTTTTAAAAAAATTGCTAACAATAAGCTCTGTGTTCAAGCACAGTTCATTACACTTACATGTTTTGTCCAGATAATCCTCACTTGATAAAATAACTGATTATTTTGGTTCATAAAAGCAAATGCAAGAACTACTTTCTACATCACCACCATCCTGCTACCTACAATTTTTTAAGCTTGTTTTTAGAAAAATGGTTCATGTCAAAAGATTTACTCTCTCGATTTATTTTATTATTAATCCATGCTGTATAAACAAATATGTAAAAATATTATATATATATATATATATATATATATATATATATATATATATATATATATATATATATATATATATGTGTGTGTGTGTGTGTGTGTGTGTGTGTGTGTGTGTGTGTGTGTGTGTGTGTGTGTGTGTGTGTGTGTGTGTGTGTGTGTGTGTGTGTGTGTGTGTGTGTGTGTGTGTGTGTATATATATATATATATAATATTTTTACATATTTGTTTATACAGCATGGATTAATAATAAAATAAATCGAGAGAGTAAATATATATATATATATATATATATATATATATATATATATATATATACATACATATACATACACACACACACATATTAGTATACATGCATCTATGCATTTTGAATATCTTTCCCCTGAGAAGTACCTTTGTTTTACTTTACAATTGTTGAAAAAAATTTATCAGTTTTAAAACACGTTCTGTATGTTTTATAAATGTGCTTAAAATTATTACCACATAACTAATATTATTATCATATAAAATATTTAAATGTGTATTGCTATTATTATTATTATTATTATTATTATTATTATTATTATTGTTATTATTTAAAAAAAAATGCTAAATGAGGTACAAGTATATCAAATACCTGCAAGTCCCATCATGGACAGAGAACATTTTTTTTTTTTTTGCCCCATGAGGTACAAGTATATCAAAAAGCAGCCCATACAGTCACATGTGCTATAAGGTGAGTGTAAAGGAGTTTAAGAAGGAGTGTAAATATACAGTTAAAATGTGGTCAAATAAAGAAAAAGATGAAGAAAACTGATTAGGTGTATGTTAATGTAAAACAATCTCAATATGTCTTTTAAAGACATTAAAATATCGGTATATTTTTACTAATTTATTCACACATTTGCATTACTGAGAGAATTGCTCAGAGATAGGTTGCACTTTCATAAAATCGTTTTATTAAAATAAATGATCAACAAACGAATCTGTGACAAGTAAAATCATTATCTATACAAAATATGAATGGCGAATTAGAAAAATACTACAAACTGTAAAATACTTAACCAAATAGCAGACAAATCCAAATGCCCGACACAAGCTGTACATTTAAAGTGGGCTGATTCTATACAGTTCAGTTCGATGAAATCTCTGACCTCACCCGTAGTCCCATTTAGCAACCTGATAGCAACCATCTTTTTAAAGAAGCCTAACCAATTTGAAAATCAAGAGTGAGATATAACTGATGTGTTTCATGTCGTAGAATAAAACATGAAAGTATCTTGAGTTTGTGGTATCCACAAAGCTTATTTTAGCAATTTAACTGACATTTAACCTATTCAAAAAACCCATAGACTTTGGGACGAGGGAACCGGAACTGCTAAAATGGTAACTCACTCCTGTGTTATTGCATACAAATTGACATTATAGTTCCTCCGCTTTATAGTCAAGATATGTTATTGAATATTAAAGTTTTTAAAATATGAAAAATTACATAATTTCGTAATATTTCCAGTCAGGTTTTAGTGAACTTGTGATATCATCTAACAACACAAATCGTTCAGATCTTATGTGTAAATAGGCCCTAATACAGGCAAGGCCTTTCAAAAGGTTTGCTCACATGCAATTATTGACATCAGGAAATCTTTGTCAAAGGATGTCTCAGAATAAAATTGTTTGAGCACATATTTCTGACAAGCAAGCAGTTATGATATGTGATCGCTGCCCTAGAGACGGACTTGTGCAAGAAATATCTTTATTGTACTATTCATTTAACCTTAAAAATTGAATGCTAAGAAAATCCCTGCATGTGCCCCTCAGGATCTGTCCTTTTGCTCAATTACTTTTGTCTCCACAATTTCCAGAGTATTTTTTTTCTAATTTGTTGGCTTGGCACAAAAAAAATAAAAAACTATGGCTGCATTCCAGTCTGATTTTATTTATGTCCTTTACTTGTGAACTTTTACTTGTTTCATTGACTTAGATATATGTCATTAATAATAATTAATTAATAATAGAAATATTTTGACATAAATTAGGAATTTACCCATGGCAACTTTATTGTAAAATAGTTTGGTATATTTACCTTTGGCCCACAACTCTTCATGGTATTTGGTTTTTGGCCCTTCATTTGAAAAAGTTTGGGCACCCCTGCCCTAATCCCTTGAGCACTTGGTAACTACACTGTTGTGACATTACAATTACATTGTATTCTGGGACATATAGGTGCTGGATTGGACATATAAAGCAGACTCACTCGCTTTGTGTAAACTGAGAGGTATCAATGTAAATGTAATCAGGATTCACCCGAGAGTAAGGGCTTAGGGAACTTTGCAACTGCTGAAGACTCTCAGAGCTTCAGGGATAGACTATAAGTTCAGATGAGACACTAAAGGGACGATCGTTCTGGTTGATTCACAGCAGCTAAAAACACAGAATATACAATGGTTGCAACAAAGAGGCCACTGCTCGCTTGAAACACATCCATAGACTGCATAAAATGTGGTCGCG